GTCCAAGGCCCCCTCGGTGGATTCCGCGCTTGGCTAACTGATAAGATAAGGTTTTTTTTTATATGTACGATATCAACATCTAGGTGAAGACGGACGTACATTTGGCTACTAGACCTGGGATATAATACCCATCACAATATGTTACCAAAGAAGAGCCTTTGGTCGTGCGCAGCTTGCTTGCGTACGCCCATTGTTGGACTCGAATATGGCCAGGCTCGACTTTTGCCCGGCGGAAGCATCGTCTTCCCACGGCGCTTCTTGACTACTCGACCCATCGATACACCACGCGAGCTCAAAGAGCTTCCTACGACGCCATCGATTGCGCAGAAAAGGGCGGCAGAGCGGCTGGGAAATATAGTCGACCAACAGATGAGGTATCTGAGAGGCAAGGACCCTTATAGGATTGGGCAATATGTGGAACAGGCGCTGAGAAGAAACGCCTTCGACGAGGCGCTGCTGCTGGTGCAAAAGGTCGGCAGAGGGCAGCAGGTCGTCGTGGCGTGGAACCTTCTTATCGACTACCAATTCGGGAAACAAAGGATAAAGGAAGCCATGAAGCTGTTCAACGACGTTGGTCTTCTCTTACCCTTGCTCGCCGACCCCTCCTCCAACTAACATCCTCGCAGATGAAGAAGCGTGGCCAACAGCCCAACTCAAGAACCTACACAGTCATTTTCCGGGGTCTATCTAAACAGACCAATACCAAACTTGCCGTTTCCGAGGCTGTCAAACAGTACAACTCGTTGATCAAAGGCGATCGTGTCGAGTCGAATTCTATCCATCTTAATGCTGCGATCAATGTCTGCGCAAAGGCTGGAGATATGGACGCCCTGTTCCGCATCGTTGACACCATTAATGAGTCCAGCCGAACGCCAGATGCTCTCACATATACCACAATTCTGAATGCCTTACGTTTCAGTACCATGGACGAGATAAAGGACGCGGAGCCGGAGAAGAAAGCCGAATCACTTCAAAAGCTTATCAGTGGTGGCAAGGATATTTGGGTTGAAGTGATAGACAAGTGGTCCGACGGCGCCCTGAAGATCGATGAAGAGCTGGTTTGCGCCATGGGTCGTTTGCTACACACGGCCTTACCTCGAAGTAGCACCAACGAGGTTCTCGACCTTCTAACACAAACGATGCGCATTCCGAATCTCGTCACAAACCCAAACTCTGATGCTCACGAAGACGAGAAGATGCGAAACATTGCGGCAACCGGTTCAACCAAGCCAGTACATGCTACTCCACATGCAGCATATGCGGTACCTGGACGCAAAACGCTATCTCTGGTCTTGACAGCTCTGGCCGCGACAAGGCAGAACACGGCAGGCATCAAATACTGGAATCTTCTGGTCCGGCATTACGGGATAGAACCCGACAATGATATCTGGTTCCGGCTGCTCGGTCTGCTTAAAGTAGCAAAAGCGAGCGCCCATGCCTCCAACACACTGGAGCTCATACCAGAACAAATCTTTAACCCCAGACAATGTCGCATTGCAATGGAAGCCTGCGTCCGCGACAATATCAATCTAAACGTGATAAAGAACAGCACGATAGCCTTGGAAACCATGCTCAAGAAGCTGAAAATCCCCGATGTTGAAACTCTTCGCCTTTACCTGAGAGTTGCCCTCGTCAGCCACTTTCGATTTCGTAAGATGGCTGCCGCCGACAAGCTGGACGAAGCCAAGCGGCTCTACGGTGTTCAGTTGACAGAGGCTTTAAATCGCCTCTGGGGCCCGTATCAGAAGGTACACCATCACTATTTCGAAGTGATCAAACCCAAGGACAAAGAAAGGGAGGCCAGCGTGCTTGAAGCTCAAAACGAGATTATCGCCCTTGCCAGGCAAATGTTTAGCGCATTCAACAAAGTTGTGAACGAGAAGATGCTACCCAACGATGACTTGGAGGAAATGCGTCTCATTGCGTCAAAGCTCAATCGCGACATCCAGGACTTTATCTCGAAGCATGGCACCTCGCTTGCCCGCACTTCCCCAGTTGTAGGTGAGAGCGTGGGAGAGAACGGCGATGACAAGGCCTCTGGCCAAGATAAACAAGGCGCCGACTTCATCTGGGACACTACCAAATCTGCAGAATTCAAGCAGCAGCAAGAGTTAAAGCAACGCGCTCCTGCATATAGACGTGAATCACCACGCTCGCAGGAAACTTCTCGAAGAAACTTCCGTGGGAGGAATTTTAGGTAAATGACTGGCCATGTACGGCTTCAATTTCGTGTACATCTGTATCAACGTGTATCATTAGAGTAGCACCGGCCTTCGAGGGTGCGAGCAAAGCATTGTACAACACTATAGAACATTGAACGAGGCAAATGACGCATCTCTGGCAACGAAGCAATTAGAATTTATTAATACGATAGTAGACACATAAGTCAGGCCATAATGCCCCTCCCATTTTATCACCTCCTAATAATAGTCTCTCGACATTTATCGGTGGCCTCGTAATTTGGGCCTGCAATCTCTCTAAACGAGCCGAAAAAAAGAATGATCAAGTGGGCAGAAAGGCTTGGTTGTTTTTGTGTTTAAGGTAGCTCGCGCGATTTCAATCATCCACCTGGACTCTTCATAGTATTGTGTTACCTCTGTCCAGCTAAATGTCTAGCATGTTCATCTCTTGGCGGCCTGGACCCGAGACCTATGGGATTGGTGATAGGCTTTTTTCAAAGACAGGGACGATGATATTATTCGCAACTTTCCCTAGGAGTGCCACAGATGTTGCCGCTGCAGTATATTCCGGAGGGGGGGACGAAATCTCATGCTTGATCACTGAGGCGGACTCGATGTCAACAGACTTGGGATCGAAATCTGTCATCTCGGAAAGTTTTGGCTCATTGCAATCCCATGGGGTTCGAAGCGAAATGGATGTTTCTAGAACTTTTTCAAGCCAATCGGCTGGAACCTTGGTTGAGTAACACAGTCGGTATATGTCGCTTGGGTTGGTTTCAGAAGATGCGTCAACTTGGTGAGGTTCTACACCCTGACTGTCGGAGCTCTTGCCATGCAAGCGGCGGAAACTTGCTGTAGAAGGGGAAAAGATGCGACGGTATCCACGAGCAGCCAGTTCGAAGGCTTTGTTTTGCGAAAATACTTCGTTATTACGAGTAGCTGTAGCGGATTCACTCTGATATTTGGTGTTGATGTCATCGGCTGCTCGCTCAAGGCCATCACGGAAGGTTGATGAAGAAGTCAGATTGCCGCACGCGAGGCCACTTAGTACCTCAAGCTGCGGAACTTTGAGTTTGCCAGACTGAGAAGTCTTTGATTGGATGTTTGCCGTCTGGTCGGAGTCGTCTTGCACCTTGGGAAGCGCGTAAGACTGGCCAGGGTCCTCTTCCCTTGTCCACACACACGCTTCGAAATCGGCGGATGATTTATCACTGCGAGATAGCTTTGCTCTCACAGTTTGCATAACGTTGCCAAGACTCTTTCGACGGCGAGGCCAAACCGCGGCTCCTACGCGGAGAGAGGGTTAGCCACCAGGGATGTTCCATGTAAGTTAGAGAATAGTAGGGCAACAAACCTCGGGACTCTTTGGACATTGTGTTACGTTCATTTTGAACGTGTTTTGGGCCACTCGTATTCTCATTTGGTTCCAAAGAGTCGTCTAACAATCCCTCATTGTTGTGCTCGGGTTGCTGATGGGACGACACTTTCGGCAGTCGCCAGCTGGAGAACCTTTTGGAAACGAAACCTGAGGATCTACGGCCCACAACCGGTCGATCTGATTTCAAAGAGCCAAAGAACATGATACTATCAATTGATGTGCGAGAATGGTTATGAATGAAGAAGCGACGCTGGCTGACCAAGGCCAAGTATTGAGCAAAGAATGCAACCTGACAATTGAGAATGGCGAAATTGTAAATGGCCTGATTGTGGCCCCAGGCCGCCACAAACAAATTGGAATAAGGCAGTTGCGATAGGAACAAGAACACCTATGCAGGCAATCTGGGGCCTTCTTCCTATCATCACTGGGAAGGAGCGGGTTGGTTGTTTGAGAGAGCCGCCTCCCACAGAAATCTCATCTCGCAGCCCGGGTAAGTTCGCAATGCATAGCACCTCCCTACTAGGCACGTAGGTACCTAAGGCAACTTGGTAAGATATTTGGCAGAGTACAAGTACTAAGGTAAGTCGCAATATTGAGGAAGTTGCCACCATTGAAACGTGTAGCCTAGCCAATGGAACAGTCCCAGGTACTGAACCATCTTGCTCATCGTATGTAGGTACTCTAGATAAAATTGACAAAGCCCTGGTACCATTAAAATGCCATGTGCCAAACACAATCCGCAACAACCATTTCTTTTGTTGCGTATTATGGCTTTAAGCAACCCTTGCTCAAGGCCTCAACGTTGCGGCTTGGAGCTCCGGGGGTGAGCGGGGAGCTTGATCACTTTAGCTTCTGTTGAGCCCTGAAATAAAAGCATATAAACAGTAGTTGGGATAGCTCCACATGATACCATCTACCTAAGTACGATCACTCGTCAATCGAGCCTCGAATGATGCACAACGTTAAAGAGCTGTATCCAGTCTTCACATGTCCCTCGCAGATGTAGCGCTCTCTATCTCAGAACGATGATCCAGTGGTAAGTATACAGATAACTCCGGTACAAGTATCCGCATCATTTTGATATCATATCCATTTCCCAAGATAATAGGTAATTAACAGAGATATAAGTCGAAGGCAGGTCTTTGGAAGGCATATGGCAACGGTGACCCACTTCTTCGTACCCACACACGCTCTGACGTATTCTTGCACCTAAACGGGCGCTGAGCACTCTGTAATAGGCCTTAATTAATTGGCGTCGCGAACGCGACACCATCAGAAACGCGTCTTCCTTTTCGAGAAGCGTGTTTAATATCACCGCCTTAATTGCCACCCCTCCACTATCCACCCACCGCAACAGTCGAGTAACCATTTCCACCCCTCCGAATTGAACGATACTCGATGCCTTTTCTTGTTTAGCTGGTTCCGTTCAATTCCCATGAAACATGTCTAAAGCCAACCACAAGGCGAGGCTCGCTGAGCTGCGAGCACTTCGCAAGTCCGGAAAGAAAGCGTTCGATAATTACCAAGTTGCAGAGGTCGATGATGTCTTCGACGAGGTGGACGAGGATGGCTACAAGAAACTCGTTCGGGATCGTCTGAACCAGGATGACTTCGTCGTCGATGACAATGGCGAAGGCTACGCCGACGACGGCAGGGAAGATTGGGATCGTGTTCAGAGATACGATTCGGACAGTGAGAATGAGGAGCCTCTTGGTCGTGGCCGACCAAGTAAAGCTGGTATGTCATACAAATCCAATCCTTCCAGGACCAAGGAGAAGCCGTACTAAAGGGTACTTAGCCAAGAAAGCCCGTCAAGAAGAACAAGCTCAGCGTGATGCAAATGACAGAGACATCACGGAATACTTCACAAAAGGGGCTGGCAAGACCCAGTCAAAGCCTAAGGTACGAGAATAGACAATAAAATCGAAACTATGCGCCCTAGCTGACATTTGACACAAGGTGGTCAAATCCAAAGCAGACGATGATTTCCTTGCAGACCTACTAGGAGAGGTAGACACGAACATCCCTTCTCCCGCCCTTCGACAACCAAAGCCAGAACGACCTATCGAGCGTCGAAAAGCCAGGGATCTATCGCCCGCTCCAGAGCCCATCCGGAAGAAGACAAAGACTATCCACACACCCTCAGCATCTTCACCAGGCCAAATTGCCAACGATAGCGATGGAGAGGGCTTTCTGCCCCCTCCAGTCGACGATGATCTTCCAGCCGCCGTTGATGTTGCGATGAGCGACCCTGCCCCATCATCCCCAACGGCCAAGGTCGCTCAGCGAAAGGCTCAAATCAAAAAGGAACCAATAGAGGAAGAGGAAGAAGACGAGGATATGATGGAAGTTGCCCATGCTGGTTCCGTCAATGCTACGAGCGTAAACATAGCCGGGTCCAGGGCTGTGAAGAAGGTCCTTAAACAAGAGCCCACCTCATCTCCTCTCGGTCCTTCCTCTGTCAAACCTGCTGAGGCGCTCGTGGACTCGTCGTCTTGGAACAGTCTAACGGATAAGCTCAACGTGGTTAATGCGCCATCCGAAGTGCGAACCGTTGGGAAAATGGACCACAAAGATGCAGTCGAGGCAGATGGTAGCCTGAACTTTTTCTGGACCGACTACACCGAAGTGAATGGCAGCTTGCTCCTGTTCGGCAAAGTTCTCAACAAAAAGACCAACTCTTATGTCAGTTGCTTTGTAAAAGTAGACAACATCTTGCGGAAGCTATACTTCCTTCCTCGCGAGCACCGAGTAAGCGGCGGCCAAGAAACTGACGAAACAGTGAGCATCATGGATGTTTATAACGAAGTTGACGAGATTATGACGAAAATGAAAGTGGATATGTACAAGATCAAGGCTTGTACCAGAAAATATGCCTTCGAGCTACCTGATGTTCCCAAGGAGGCCCAGTACATGAAGTTGCTCTATCCTTATACCAGTAAGTTCAATTTGTCACCTCACCTCCAGTTCGTGTATCGCTAAACCGTTTAGATTCACCGATTGATATGGAAACTCGTGGGCAAACCTTTTCGCGTGTATTCGGAAGCAACACATCGCTCTTCGAGCAGTTTGTTCTTTGGAAGAACATCATGGGGCCATGCTGGCTGAAGATTGTGGATGCCGATTTTGGGGCTCTGCATAACGCTTCCTATTGCAAGCTTGAAGTTCAGGCCTCGCACCCGAATATGATCACTGTCGACCCCTCGACCAGCATGGAAGAACCCCCATTGACTGTAATGAGTCTTGCTTTGCGCACATGCTTCAACTCAAACAACAACAAGCAGGAAATACTTGCGATCAGCGCAAGAATATACGAAAAATTGTCTTTGAACGACACCACGCCGGCCGAGAAGCTGCCCTGCCGAACCTTTACCATTATTCGCCCCAATGGCCAATCCTTCCCCATGGGATTTGAGCAGCTCGCCAAAAAGAGAAGCAAGGGTCCTATCTTTTTGAAGAGGCAGGAATCAGAAATTCTCAGCTTTTTCCTAGCCCAAGTTGACGTCGCAGATCCCGATGTCATCCTCGGTCATCAATTGGAAGGTGTGGATTATAGCGTTCTCGTTAATCGCTTGCAAGAGAAGAAAACGCCTCAGTGGTCCAGATTGGGCAGATTTAGACGAAGCAAATGGCCATCCTCCATCACGAAGGTTGGTGGAAACGTCTTTGCTGAACGTCAGCTCATGTCTGGAAGACTGCTGTGCGATCTTGCCAACGACGCCGGCAGATCTGTCATGTTCAAGTGTCAATCTTGGAGCCTCACGGAGATGTGCAGCCTCTACTTGCCCGGGGACAACCATCGCCGTGAAATTGACAATGAGGTGGCACTGAACACTTGGGCAAAAGAAAAGCAAGGGTTGATGGACTACATCACCCACATGGAGGCTGACACACACTACATAGCCGCCCTCGCCGTCGGCGTCCAGATTCTCCCCCTGACGAAGATTCTCACCAACCTAGCCGGGAACTCCTGGGCTCGTACATTGACTGGAACACGAGCCGAAAGAAATGAGTACATTTTGCTGCATGAATTTCACCGAAATAAGTATATTTGCCCTGACAAACAAACATTTCGCGGCCGCCAGAAGAATGAAGAAAATGGCGAGGATGACGCTGCCGACGGGAAGAAGAAGGACAAGTATAAAGGTGGTCTGGTTTTCGAACCTGAAAAGGGCCTGTACGACAAGTTTGTTCTGGTGATGGACTTCAACTCCCTTTATCCCTCCATCATTCGAGAGTTCAACATCTGCTTTACAACGGTGGAGCGAAAATCATTGGTAGGTACTAGCCAGCATTTCCTATAGGCGTCCACTTCTTGTGCTAACGGTGAACTTTTCCAGCGAAGTGCCGATGACGAGGAAGAAACTGTTCCTGATGTACCAGAGCAGCAAGACCTGGGTATCCTTCCCAGACTGATTACCACTCTGGTTGACAGACGTCGTGCTGTCAAGAATCTCATGAAGGACAAGAGTGCGACCGCCGAGCAACTAGCAACATGGGACATCAAGCAGCTGGCTTTGAAGCTGACTGCAAACTCCATGTACGGTTGTTTGGGATACACCAAGTCGCGCTTTTATGCTCGCCCTCTTGCTGTATTGACAACGTTCAAGGGCCGAGAGATTCTCCGAAGCACCAAGGATCTCGCAGAAGGCATGGCCTTACAGGTCATTTACGGTGACACTGACTCTGTCATGATCAATGCCAATGTTGACAACGTTGAAGATGCTTTCAAGGTCGGCCATGCGTTCAAAAAGCTGGTTGATGACCAATTCAAACTGCTCGAGATTGGTATCGACAACGTCTTCCGACGGATCTTACTGCAGGCCAAGAAGAAATATGCTGCCATCAACCTCGTTGAGAAAGATGGCAAGTGGGTGGAGAAGATGGAAATCAAGGGTCTGGATATGAGACGTCGTGAATACTGTGCCTTGTCGAAGGAGGTATCCAAGCACCTACTTGATGAAATCCTGTCTGGCGATGAAACAGAGGTTTCGGTTGTGCGAATTCACGACTATCTTCGCGAGATCGCCGGCAAGATGCGAGAGCAGAGCATTCCAAATGCCAAGTATATCGTGTACACGCAGCTTGGAAAGGGTCCAAAGGAATATCCAAATGCCGATAGCATGCCGCAAGTGCAGGTCGCTTTGCGTGACATGGCGCGTGGCAAAGCTGTTCGCAAAGGCGACGTCGTCTCATACATCATCACCGGTGACTCCAAGAGCTCGGAGCCAGCCCCAAAGCGCGCCTATGCGCCCGCAGACCTCAAGTCTAACCCCGAGCTGCTGCCTGACGTCGAGTGGTATATTGCCAAGCAGATTTTCCCTCCTGTGGAGCGTCTGTGTGCGAATATCGCGGGTACTTCAACATCGCAACTTGCAGAGCAACTAGGATTAGATGTTCGAAGATATGCTTCAGTCCAGAATCAGCAAGGGGCTTCAGGGAACGACTTAGAGGTTCACCCTCTCGAGTCCCAGATCCCCGATGACGTCCGGTTTGGCGACTGTGAACGTCTTTCCCTCCGGTGCCGAAAGTGCAAATCCACCACTCCATTCGAAGGCCTGGCCGGAGGATCCGATTGTGTCTCTGCCTCGGGCGTTGTCTGTGGAAAATGTGGCAGTGCCATCTCTACACTGTCCATCGTTGCACAGGTTGAGCATGCAATCCGCATCCAGACCTCGCGTTACTACGAGGCCTGGCTCGTGTGCGATGATTCGCAATGCGGTAATCGCACCCGCCAGACCAGCGTTTATGGCAACCGCTGTCTCGGCCCCAAGGGCCTCGCTCGTGATTGCTTGGGCCGCATGCGCTACGAGTATAGTGAGAAGGCAATCTACAACCAGCTCGTCTACTTTGCCAGTCTTTGGGATGTCGACAAGGCTCGCGTCAAGGCTGCCGCAAGCGAGGACCGTGACAAGATAATCACCTTGGCAGAGCACAACCGTGTGCGGTTCACCACCATCAAAGGCGTGGTAGACAAGTACCTAGACAAATGTGGTCGCCAGTGGGTTGCTATGGATACATTGTTCGCGAAATTGGGCTTCAACAAGATCATTGCTGGTCCCTAAGTGAGGAAAGGGGACATGGGTCTATGTGTATATAAATTTGGCGTTTTCCGGGACATGAACCACATTCACCGCTGTAATAATTGGGTTGAGAGGTGCCTCTGTTTTATCAAGCCAGGCTTACCTGGGATTTGCGGCGTGAATTAGAGAATGGATGGGTATTGGAGCGTTTGGGTAACTAGTTATTTCTGCAATAAATATGATGCAATGTTGTGACCTACACTCGACCAGTTTTACGATAACAACAACGTAGCGTCCAAAACTATGTCTGATGGGGCGTTCTTACAACAGCCGTGAGAACCCGTCAGCAAGCTATTCCGTAACACTTGGGCGCGAAGGTTCAATGCACAATTAGATGGAGAAGTTGTTATGACAGAAAAGGTATATAATTTCCCCCGGTTGCTCTACTCTACTACCACCGTGCCTAACGTAACTCAAATTAGATGATGTACAATATAACAGGAAGAAGCTCCCCACTTGTCAATCATCACCACCATTCACAGCACTCGAGCAGGAATGTCCAACAAGAGAGCATACACAACCGTTGGCGACCAGATGTGTGCGCTCCTTCTCAGCTTCCACGCTGTCATGGTGAAGTACAAATATTTGGTGGGGGAAAGATCGAAAGTCCAATCGAAAAGAGAAGTTGGCGAGTTTTCAACACTGGGCAGATAAGTGAGGTAAAAAGGAGCCCACATGGCAGCTCATGAAACGAGATCGACTCAGTATCACGAAGAGCCAGTATCACCACTACCGACACCGACACCAGAACCAGCCAACCCCACTCCCCCGGACCAGATTCCCCGTGTTCCCTCTCCTTTATATATCACCTGATTCCTTGGCTTTCGGTATTCTTTTTTGCTCGAAAAGACGTTGATGATTCTTCAGGAGCTTGGCAAGAGCATTGATGCAATATAGCTCGGTGGCTTCGCCATGTAACAAGATTGCCCCGCAGACCAGTAGTATAGTCATGCCACTGATGAATGAGCGATCAATGATGCAGGTATCAGGGGTTGGTCAGGTCGTACCCCCCGCGAAATCAATATAGGAAGATGCCCCCTTGTTTCTCTTCCGAGAAGTCATCTGTTCAGTCGTTCTATTGGGGCTGAGGTATCATGGTTCAAATGCGTGCGCGAACTTTTGGAACACGTCTGGAAATAATAATAAAAAAGGCCTGTAAATGCAAGAAACACAGCCCCGCCGAGTCTATCTGCCGAAATTCAATGACACCGAAAATGAGAAAATGGTTTTACTCGCCATCCTTCTTGTCGCCAGCAGGGACAGCTTTCGAGATCGCTGGTGAGACGGCAGTTGACGGAGGCGAAGCCGGGTGATCGTTATCCATGTTCGCAAGCAAACTTCATGACGATGTTAGCACTCACTATATCAAGAGTAGACAACATATTAGGGGCGAGGACAAACCTGAATGCATTTGAAGATGAGTTTTCCCGAACCGGGGGGGTTCCCGTTCGAGACGATGCTCCAGAGTCTTCACCGGGCCTACCCAGCGCTCCGCCAGGACCCATGCGTCGGCCGCTATTGCTGCGTGAAGAGAACATCGATGTGGGACCGAGGGTCACATTTCCGCTTGCTGACCGGCTAGCGGAACCCTTGAGACGTCTCAAGTCGTCTCCGATGACCTGGTTGCTATTCTGTTGGAAGTTTCCGGTAGAGAAGTTTCGTGCGTCACCGCGGCCCATGGCCGGACGACCACCTCCACCACGCTGGTTGTTCCTTGCGTTCTCCTGAGCCTTTGCAGCTTGAGCAGCCTCAGCCTAATTACTACGTTAGATTAATTTCAAAGTGTGAAGGATGAAGCCACGACTTACCTCTGCACGGACCTCCTCCAACGTCTTTGGCCCCTTGTTAGTCTCCTTGGAGTGCCAGTTGGATTTACGGAGATCCAAAACGTCCATGAGCATGAACTTCATTCGGCTGGCCAGATCAGGAGAGTCAACCATCTGCTGAATACGATCGAAATAAACATCCATCATTGGGCGGCCCTTGTCAGACCTATCCAGGTTGGCTCCAATAGTGCGCAGCAACTTGGATAGTGACTCGATCTCGGCCTCGTCCGGAATCCCCTTATGGTCCACGAGCTTGTGCACGCACTCGAGCATAATGCGCTCAGTAAGCATACCAAGCTTGTACAATTCACCAATGAATTGCACGAGACCAAGACCTCTTCGCTTGGCGGCAGCAGCTGTGTAGTATTCATCTGAAAGCATGACAGCCTCGCCTGGCTTTTTGTTCTCCTCAGACTCCTTAGGTTCAGGAAGATTGACTTGCCAGCCACGTTCGAACTCTTCTTGACAGCGGTTGAGAAGGTATTTACGGAAGAGGTTACCACCGCTAACAACGTTGCCGTTCTTGTCCTTGATGCGCTCGTCGTGAATCTCAGGATTCATTGTCTCAAGCATCTTCTTGCAGAACTTGGCGTACATCGAGGCCCAATGAGCTTCGTCAGTGGCCTTCTCAAAGGTCAGTTGGATGACTTGGCGCAGAGTTCGGCCATCAGTCTCATCCTTAGACTGAGAAGCAATAACAAGAATTTGGTCGGAGATCTTTTCAAAGTTATCCGGAGTCATCTTGTTGAGGGCAGCCTTAACCTTTCTCTGGACCATCTCAGGGTCAAGATGACCAGATGTGGATGCGGCTCCTCCTGCGGCGCCCCGTCCAACGCTGGTTGGTTTCCAACCAGTAGACGTTACGGCAATAGGCTTGACCTCCTGACCAGCTGTGAGAGGCATGGTCTTAGCATCCTTGGCAGACTGGTCTTGTGGGCGTCGGCTGTTACGGTTCGCTCGACTGCCAGTTCGAGAACCTGAAGAGGGGCCCATGCCACTGCCTTGAGAAGGTGTGCGTGATCCCATTCCTGATGACATAGGGAATGCACCTCCAGGGCGTTGGAAAGAATTCATAGGAGCAATCGATCCCCGACCCACGCTAGCTTGCTGGAATCGCTCTGCTGACGTAGAGCCTGCTGGGCGCATGGGAGCATTGAAAGCGCCCATGTTAAAGCCGCCTCCACCTCCACGAGAAGATTGTCTTCCGGAGCCGGGAGTTTGGGCCCCGCGGCCAGAGGCAGAACGACTGCCGTCATTGTCCCCGATCAGAGACTTGACTTGCTGGTGGAATTCTAGTGAAGGCTGTTCGGTGAAGACCTTCTGGAATTGCATGAGGAAGTTAGCGTCATACTTGAATGTCTTGCCCTTCTTTGCCACAGCAGCATTGAGAGCCGGGTTGGGGGACCGAATGCCGGCGGGGTAGATTTCCTGATCCATGATCTGCAAAAAGCGTGCAGATTTGAGGGATTGGAGAGCAGCACTGGGTTGAGGGGGTTCCACGGGCTTGGTGATCAGAGGTGCCAGGTTGAGAGCAGCGGGCTTTGCACCACGCTTCTCGGCGGTGGTGGGCTTGGCATCGCTCTTCTCACTAGCCAGCTTCATGCTGGCGAGCTTGTCCGTGACGGCATCAACCTTGGAGGCTTCGGCCTCCTTGGGGGCAGTCTTTCCTGCCAAGGCATCTGCAACTGAGAATGACTTGCCAGACTTCTCTGCCTCCTGGCGTTTCTTCTCCTTTTCTTCCTCAAGCCTTTCCATCTCACGCTCTTGCTCACGAAGCTTCTTGTCCGCGTCTGCAGCATTTGCCTTTCGGTTTTCTTCGGCCTTTGCCTTCTCGGCAGCCTTCTCAGCCTCTCGCTTGACGCGATGAGCCTCCTCCTCCGCTTCACGTTTAGCATCAGCCTCCTCCATCTCACGGATGATACGCTCCATTTCTTCCTCCTCGGTCTCCTGGGCTGGAGCAGATGGCTTTTCTGGCTCCTTCTCCTGCACGGGCTCCTCCTTCTTGGGCGGTTCGGAAGCGGCGGCGGGTGCTGGCGTGGCCTTTGCGGGCGCCTCTGCTTCCTTCTTGGGAGCCTCGGGGGTGGGCTCTGGAGCCGGGCTGGCTGGTGCTGCAGGCTTTTCCTCCTTGTTCTTGGAGGCCAGAGTGGCCTGCTTAATTTTTTCCTTGAGCTCATCCTGGATCTGCTTAGCCGTCTTGGGGGCTGCGGCACTATCAGTGCGGGAGTGACCTGGGGTAGATGACTTTGGTGGTGGTGTAGGCGTAGAAGCTGCAACAGGAGGCGTCTTGGTATGCTGGATGCCAAGGGCTGGGGACAGAGGAACCTTGAAGCTGGTGGTATCGAGAACCTCGCCGCTGAGGGACTTGATGGGAATAGCGGCACCCTTCTTTGGCTTGACAAATGCTGAATTGGCCTGAGCGGGCGTCGTTGATTTGTTGCTTGATCCCATGGCAACGGCTGGGGCATGCTGGTTAGCACTTGAAGGCCTCTCAGGTTGCGAGGGTGTCCTCGACATGCTGTGGCCTGGTTGTTGGTAAGGGGGAGGGACAAAGGTCTGGTTATAGCCTGGTGAGTTAGCTTGTGGGGGGGGCATGTATGGCATATTGTAGCCATACGGGCGACCATACTGGTCTAATTGTTGAGGCGGGAAGCCAAAGTTCTGACGTTTCATAGTTAGCAAAAGATGTTCATAATTTCCTGGTGACATATCAAGAGAGGCTGATGCGGTTGAGTTGATGACATTAGGAGGGGAGGTTTCTTGAAGGGGTTTTCTCCTGGCGTCGTCAGAAACTGTAAGTGTGCTGTCCAGTTCATGTTCAGTCAAAGACTGATCTCCCCGTCTATTCGAACGGCCATTCGGCTGGTTGGAATCATTATTGCACAGTTCACGAACAGAATCAGACCGGCGTCCAGGTTGGTGATGAAGTCTGTCGCTCTCACGATGGGACTTGACTTTCTTGAAGGGCTTGAAAGGTTGTGCTTTGATTGACAAAGAATAAAAGGGGAGTTGTACTTGTTGATGTTGGGGCGGCATCGGGGGCGCGTAGTGGTACTGAGGAGGGGTCTGCATGGACATGTTCGGCTGCATGTTGGCAGGAGGCATATTGGGCGTTCCTGGCATCGATGGCACAAGCAGAGGGCTGCGATTCGGCTGAGG